TGTCAGTATATTATGAGATCATAGTCCATGACGGTATTTTAAGCTGACCAGCACAGCCCATCGAGACCGGAGATGCAGCACATGGGCCAAATAGGATATAATACACCATCATATACTATCATATGTTATAACACACTGCATTATATCATATGATACTGTGCTGTGCTTTACCATAGTATATAACAGTATACTTATAGCATACCCTAATATACAACTTATACACCATAATTTGCCATAATATACCATAATATACCATAGTAAGCCATAGCACACCATACTACCAACATGGATGCCCTCACGCTCCCTCTCTCTTTCGCCGGGACGTCGGCGCGCCTCGCGGACTCCTCATCAACATAGTTGACCTTGGTGTAGGGTTCGGTTTAAGATTTAGGGTTTAGGGTTTAGGGTTTAGGGTTTAGGTTGCAATTCTAGCAAAGCAGAACCATGCGTGCACAAATTCATGGCCCGAAACCCTCAACCCTACACCTTTGATGGCCAGAACTGCTAAACCCGTAACCCTAAATGCCCAGAATTGCTACACCCTGAACCCCTAAATGGCTAGAATTGCTAAATCCTAAACCCCCAAACTGGCCAGAATTGCTCCTAAACCCCCCGAATTGGCCAGAATTGCTACATCAGAAACCCTAATATGGCCAGGATTGCAAAACTCCAAACCCTAAAGGCCAAACCCCAAATGGCCAAAAATTTTCTTGCCAAGTGACGAAGGCCAGTCCCAAGTTCGTTGAAGTCTTGCTCCCCACAGGCACATAGACGAGGTCAAAGCTCTTTGTGATCATGAAAAGCCTTGTCACAGGATTTCGGGTTTAGAGCTTTAGAGTCACACAACTAGAATAGATTGTCAGAGGTTATAGTATTTTATGGTGTACTATGGTAAACAGTGGCTCAAAGTTAGGCTTAAGGCTTTAGGGTTTAGGGTTTAAGGCTTAGTCCTGAAAGTGAAGAGGTCGGGTGCCCTACGCTCCTAAATGCTGCCTCTAGTGTTGGGTCAGGAGAATTATCGGAGCACTGGAGGTCAACCCCGAACCCTCCAAGAGGTTATAGTATACTATAGGATATTATAGCACGTGCAAGTAGATTAGAGTATGTTATAGTATATTATACTGAACTATAGTATATCATCTATTGTGGTATAGTATAGTAGCATATCGTATATCACAGCATAACAAAGCATATCATTGTATGTTATAGTATCTCTCGGAAGGCACCCCGACGCCCTGCGTAAATCGTAAACCCGACACACATATTCCATGGATGAGGAGCTTATGGCAGGTTCACCGGTGATCGCGGCGGGTTTAGGGCTTAAGGGAGCTCAGAGGAGTCACCTTACAGTCAAACCATCACTCACATACGGTTTAGTGTTCGGGTTCGCGGGTTAGGGGTTTAGGGTTTAGGGTTTAGGGACATCAGCCTGTTGCATGTGGCTTTGAGGACACGTCTTGCAAATCGAAGCTCCAGTGTAGTCATACTACTGGTGGCGATGACCATCCGCCTCCGGGTAAGTTTGGACTCTTAAGGCGCTGTGTTCTGCCTCGGACACTTCCCTTCCACCGTGTGCACTTTTCGACACATTGCTTCTCCTGGGATCCTGCATTGCTTTAGACTAGAATCAGGATCCGACTCTCTAAGGTCCATTAACTATCGTTTGCAGTGTAGTTATTCTTTGGGGGTCACCTTCGATTACTATCGGATTCTAGATACAAAACCGGTTAAGCCAACGAAGGGACTACAAAAAAAAATATAGGGTTTAGGGTTTAGGTGTTTTTTTTTGGTACACGGTTTAGGGTTTAGGGTATAGGCAAGCTCCCAATCTGAGCTCGCGGCAGCCGGATGAAGGCATCGAGACTCATACTTCGGGCCACACCCCTGCACCCGGAAGCAGACGGGTTTCCCAGAGACGCCAATATCCCCTAACTAGGGAACATGCCTTAAACTATGATAGGAACCCGAATAAGATTTTAAGGTATATTCCCTTCATTAAGGAATAGTGGAGTCTCTGGGTTTAGGGCCTCGGCTTTAGGCCTCAGGGCCTGGGGGGCCCCAAAACCCTAGGCCCTAAACCTGGGAATCCCAGCCTTGAACCTTAAACTTTCAACCCTACATCCTCAAGCATCGAAAACAGGGCCTAGGGTTTAAGGGGTTAAGGGGTTAAGGGGTTTAGGGGTTTAGGGGTTTAGGGGTTTAGGGGTTTAGGGTTTAGGGGTTTGGCCTGATCATAACGGTTGTCGCTCCAGCTGGCAACCCATCTGTTGGTGACTCCTGCGAACATGGAGAACCAGAAACTGACTCTGGCTGATACAACTAACTGTTAGGCTTCTTGATGGTTGTATTCCGGGCTCTTTTTTCCGACCGCTAGAACCACAAGCAGGAAAACAACATACCAGGATGAGCCAATCGGACACAGGAAGACAGAAGGCACAGCACAGCGCAAGGGGCCCGCCGAACACAAACTTTCCTATGGCCCAACCAGCCGCAAGGCAGAGTATCCCAAGTCCCAAACCCCAACAACCTGGAGGGTTTAGAGTTTCGTAGATGCATCTCTTGAGATGACAGAGATCGTCGGAACAAGGGCTTACTGTATAATCATGAGAACAGGGGTTTTTGGATACTACTGGCAAGTAGTTTGCCTTGAATGCCTTCCGTCAGTGAGGATCTGCGATTTTCCGAAACGTGAACGGTGATTACGGCCCCAAAACTTTCGCCCCAGTCTCCTGATCATGCTTATGCACAGTGTAGAGCAATGCGTGGTATAGTGTAAAGTAGCATAGTACAGGGTAATATAGTGTCGTACCATATAGTAAAGCCACTACCGTCAGCATCATCTGCAACATGACGGTCAGCAGCAGAAGCAGCAGCAATAGCGCACTAGCGCGATTCGACAACCTCGGCAGGCTTGGGAGTGAAAGAAGAGAGAAGCTTCTGGTTGCTTCTACTCAACATGTTCGTGACACACCGATACTGATCGGAAACAGCAAACATAGCCACTAGAGTCATTAGAGTGAGCACCATCGAATAAGGACTAAGCGATCGAGACCCCAACACCAGCGAGCCGCTGTGTAATTCTGTCGCTAGTTAGGGTCCCTCTTTAGGTCCCCAATATAGTACGGCACCCTTATTAAAAGGGCCCTCAAGGGGCCCTTAGTTTAGAGAACTACCCATGTAGATGCTACCACAAGAACAACAACCATACTGATAATACTTGCGCGTAAAAAGCAATCATGGCCGAATCATGGCCACTGATGCAGGGACAAAACTGACCGCACTCGCACGCACAAACAGCATAGGCTAGTACCTGCGACACGACGCGTGTCAATCACACTTTGCAGCGTCAAAGCCCTAAACCTGAGTCCCTAAACCCAATCATAGACAGAAGAAAGCAAGACTCGCATTACTGAAGCCAAGGACTGACATCCAACTTTGGGTTCGTGTGAACGGGCTCTGAAAACTTTAAGGGTCAGCAGTTTAAGGCTTTCTACCGCCTGGGCGAAAATCTGTTACTTCTCCTGCCGGAACAGGCATGTCACTCCCATGAAACCTGAGTTTGAGCTGTGCCCGAGGCTGTTGCATCTTCTCTTTCTTACAGGCATTGCTCAAGTCGAAACCTCATGTGGTATCGGGTCCTGGTACTTGAAATACCCCATTGTGGGAACAAGCTCTGCTTGGCGTTCACCTGCGACTCCATGCGCATGGTTTCAGTAGCGAAGGGCACACAGACACACAGACTTTGGTGGAAACAGACACTGATACTGTTGATGATGATAAACATATATATATATATCCTACAGTACCTTAAGGACCCTAAACTATGGAATTATGGTACATTCCTTACTATGGAAAATGCAGGACTTATATCATCAACCGTAGTGACAACACTTTCAGGGCAGAGCTCGAAGCCTCCCGGCAGCAGATACCGTCGTCCCCACGTCGGGAATCGGGAACAAGTGTCCAAAGCAGCGCTAACAGGATGGGCCAAATCGTGTCACCAAATTCTAGGGTGGCTCTGTGGCTTGAGTCGAGGGCTACATGCCTGAAGTATGATGAAGTGAGTGTCGAGCCCTTATGGCGGCAGACTGTGGTCTTCAACAGCAAAGTTCAACAAGTCCGTGCCAGCAGCTTTGAGGCATCAACAACGATGCAGACCTTCACTGACATCGCTGGCAGCTTGAAGAACATGAAGTCAATATCCACTGTCTTGTGCCTGAACTTCCAAACTGTTCAAACACTGCGCATGGCTCACTCCCGATGTCCAATGATCCGACCAAGCCACGTCAAGTGCTTCTGTAAATCTGCTTTCTGCTTCATCTGCGACTCCCTTCGCAAGGCAGCGATTGACAAGCGGTGCAAGTCAGGAATCCCACCTGAACGTCATGATCTCTTCCCAAATTTCCATGACCAGGTCGTTTGGATGCTGCTCCAGAACCTGACCGAACACGCTTGTCCGAACCTTCTTCGGTGCGTACACCCCTAAACCCTAAATCCTAAAACCTAAACCCATACCCTATACCCAAAAAACCCTAAAACAAAGCTCTAAACCCTAAACCCTACACCCTTCGTTGCATACAGAGGATCCCATGGCCTCAAGCAAGGATCTTCCCAGGACCTTAGCTCCAGAAAAAAGGAGTTTCGGGTTTAGGGTTTAGGGTTTAGGGGTTAGAGTTTCGGGTTTAGGGTTTAGGGTGAGCCGCGCATGGATCCATAGGGAAACCGTGTGACAAAGCGAACCGCACAGCCTCTCTTCTCAAATGGGTAGTACCCAACTTTTTCAGAGTCCTTTTCATAAGGGTGCCGTACTACAATGGGAACCGAAAAAAGGGACCGAAATTTGAGAACTACCCAAATAGAGCAGGGAACGGGGGACATGGATCGCTATGACAATCCTGTTTCGCAGCCCCTCTAGCCGTCTAAGCCGTTCTCCCATTTCCCTACTGAGAACCAAGGCTTCTTTTTGGACGCTTCGCCGCCAGCAAATCACAGCCCGTGGCTCAGCTATCCGAGAGGTCGATCACATCGCCTAATCAGGCTTCTTGGTCTGAGTCTTCGTCTTAGTCTTGGCATTAGCATAAACATTATCAGTATGATTAGTCTTACTACCATTACAAGTATCATCACTATTGCTACTGTAACTAATACCAGTAAAATTAGTGTTGCTAGGATCATTATGACTATTATTGCCATCTTTACTGTTGCTAATATTCTTCATATTGCCACGCTGCATAAGAACTACGATTGATGGACAAAATCCCGCATGGCCCTATATACCTAAACTATGGGAATTATGGTACTCATACTATACTTGGGTCATGCAGGATTTTGTCCATCAGCCGTATTATTACCAACTTCCGGCATCTGGGCTCCCGCATGCTCCTGCCTTCCCTATCGCGCTTGGTGCCCTTGGCAGCAGAGTCCGCCCGCCACAACCTGCATTCCGGCTCAACCCTTTAGGGTTTTGGGTTCAGGGTTTAAGGCTTTAGGGCTCAGGGTTTAGGGTTTGGGGTGTGGCGTTTAGGGCTTAGGGCTTTGGGCTATACACGTCTCCAGGCTGGGTAAACGCTACAGTAACCCTCACAGAGCCTTTATGCTAACCATTTCCGTGGACTTTAAAGGAAGCCCTGATCGCGACTTTTGCAGATCCCGAACACTAAGCCCTCACAGAGCCCTTCTGGTAACCCGATGCTGTGGTAACCATGATAGTACCCTAAACCCGAATGGTAACCCTGCCAGAGCCCTTACAGCATCGCAACCCTACAAGTATTCTGACCGTGATAATAAGAATGGCCTAAAGACTCTTTTTGTAACAACAATAGTGATGATTCTAGTAGATGAACAACAATCATCGTCAATTAGCAGTAGTCATGATAATAACATTAACCGTTTGGTAACCCTTCACCCAAAATCCTCAACCGTCCCCCGTAGCCTGGGAGGCGGCCATGGCGGTGAAGCCTCGCTCTTGCATGCAGCGAGGTGCCTCGCTGTACTTCAGGGTTTGGGGTTTAGGCGTAGGCTTAAGGTTTTGGCTTTGGTTCAGGGTTTATCGTGTAGAGCTTAAAGTTTAGGGTTTGGGTTCCGAGCTTAGGGTTTTGGGTTCACGGATTAGGGTTATGTTTACAAGCATAACGGCCTGAATGCACACGCATTTGTACTTGAGCAAATGACGAGCCGCAGGGTAAGACTAGCTACATCTTCCGTCAAATAGACCCCCCACCCCCATGCATCTCAGAGCAACGGAAAGGCGTTATGCACAGGCTGAAGGAAAGACTGGTCGCTAGACCGTCGTGTGTCATGACTTGGTGACGACACCAAGAATTCGCAAACTTAAAAGCATATGAGCACGCCGATTTTCACCCTGCAAGTGGCATCGGATGCTCACCGTCCTGCTAGGAAAGTCACATCGCAGCTAGCGAACTAAGTGTCTAAGCTTTGCTCAGGATACCGTCCCGTTAGGGAGGTGATGCATGCTCCGGCACAAATGACCAAGTCTTTGAAAAAGCGCCATCGCCAGTTCGCGCCGTCCCTTGCGTTGGTTGTAAATCTCGTGGTTCCAACCCGACACAAACCATTGCACATGTGACGTGTCAAAGCTAGTGGAGCCATGGAGGTTGCTGTATGACAGAATCATGTTGATGACATGTTCCGGGTGGATGTATGATTCGCCCATTGGTAGGCATCAACCCTTTTCCACTCTGCCTTTCTCGCTAGAGCGGAGTCAATCACGTCTCCGGCTTGGTCGTAGCCGAGACGGAAATTGGGGTAGAGTGGGCCAGCCGTTCGGAGCTGCTCAATCGTGACTTGGCGGGCACGAGCTCCCCCGAGAGGGTGAAGCTACTATGCATTTGACTGATAGATCGCTTGCATTGATGGGAACAGATGACCCTAGGAGAAGCATGACAGGTGCGGAATGGGATTATGTCAACACACCATCCCCTGTGCATCCATGAGGTTTTCCCAGTGGCGAACTTTTATCACAATCAAGTCCGAGAACCTACCCCCAACCAACCAGTCCTTGTCCAGAATGACACAGGACCAGGTGTAGCCGCAGAAGCCGAAGCAAGTCATTCCGCAATCATGAATGAAAGAAATGAACAACTTAGGGGAGCTGTTTGTCAGGCGTCAGCATGAGGCAATTGCAGGTGCTGCAAGACGCAGACTTGAGTTTCTTCAATCCGGACCGTCTTCAACATCAGGAAGAGGCAGTTAGAGCAGCCGGCGAAAGCATGGCTAACAAGCACTCTGAGGAACTATCCCTGGTGCGTAACGAAGCCATGGATGTTAAGCGCAAGCTTCATCAAGCCGAAATTACAGTCAACGACGTTGTTCATCATGCTGAGCGTGAGCTCGTTGCAAGAACCGAAGCTCAAAATGCTGCCAACTCCATGCCAGGCCAGCTTAACATGCTGACATCCGAGATGGTCGAAGTGACGAAAAACTACGACAGTTGGAAGGATAGCCTCGGTGCCGTTGAATGCCTCACAGTTTACGAGGCATGCTACTCCTTCGATACATGGAATTGCTACGCCCCCAGGAATGGGTGTCAACGGTAACCGTCCGCCCGATGATGATGATGATGATCTTGACGATGATGATGACAGTGACGGGGATCACAAGAACAAGAAAAACGAAAGACAAGAATAAGCAGAAAAGACGTGATTCGTCTAGCTCTTCTTCATCCATCGGTAACTCGAGGAAGGATTTGCTGCGAATGCTTAAGAAGGTGTCTAAGTCCAAGAAGGAAAAGGGCGAGGGGACGGATGAGAAAGAAAAGAGAGGAGGACCCAGGGCTCCGGAGGAAGCGGAGACAATCGTGTTTCCGAAGTGTCCGCAGCCAGAAAACGACAGGAACTGGCGCCTCCGTGTATGGTTGTTCATCCCGTTTCTGGGAAATCAGTTCCGCTGCTTGAGGGAGACCGATATTACGACTCCGGAGGGACCTTAGGTAGACGACACGGTGTTCTAGAGCTTCCACCAAGCCTGATGATATCCCTTCGCATTTATGGGTCAACATGCGGAAAGCTTCATGAGCTTGTCCCACTCACTCGACATCGACTGCAGCCTGTGCTTCGGGATTTTGTGTCAACTCCTTCTTGCCAACAGGTCTGGCAACAAGTTCCATGAGGTCTAAAACCTCTTCATTTAATATCGGAGCTGACTTAGCTATCTATCCCTATGTTTTTCGCCATTGGCGGCAACGACAGGCATAGTGGGAAAGGAGCGATCTCCGTTAGGAGTGGGTTTGATTCATATTATAGTCTGACCAATCCATTTGAAACACAGCTTCTTGTTTCGACGTCTACGATTTCTCCAATCATCTTCGTCATCCATGCTGGTCTCGCCACCCATGGGAATGGTGTTGGTGTAAGGCCAATTAGTCAACCTCGTAATTAAAATCGAATGGACAGTCAGTCATGTGAGGAGAAAACAATTCTTGACGTGGTTGGAAATGACACCGAATGAGAGCTTTACCGCGTATCTCCCAAGAATCATTGATCTTTGGCGCTGCGCCAGCAGGTCGATCCGAGGCCACTGCCGTCGTCAAGCTTTTCAAGCGCAGCTTTCATTGCAGACTCTGGCAACCATGGAAGCCGGCAAAACACTTGATGCCTACGGGCACATGCCAGGTAACACGTGCGAACAGGCCGACGGAAAACAGGCCTACACGCAAACAAGGCTCCATTGCGCAGAGACTTGGGCAAGGTTGCCCCAAAGAGCGCTGGCCGAAAGGTTGGCATGGAAACTTCAAGGATTCAGTTGTTAAGCCTGTTCTTGCGTTCTACGGTCACCCTGACAGTGGAGGATTCTGAGAGCAGCGTTGCGAAAAGATGCTGAAAGAGGTTGGTTTTCACCTCGCGTTCCCTGCTGCATGGCCGTCAGTGTTTTTCCATCCTGAGTTAAAGCCCCTACTTGCTGTCTACGTCGATGGTTTCAAGATGGCAGGACCAAAACACAACATGGCGAAAGGACGGGAACTGACAGCTTCGAAGATTGACATGGATACACCTGCACCGCTTGGTAGATGTTTTGGTTGCGAGCACTTGTCCAAGTCATCGTCGCTTGAAAAAGCTGACCATCCGTTTGCCCCGCCAGACCGAGAGGTCCGTGTTATCTTCCTGAACGGACATAGCAGGAAGCGAAGGCACCGAATGCCTGCAGGGCTTGTGGGAGCTGGTTCCATGGCGGACTTCTTTCACTACGGCGAGACCTACGGCTGATAACCCATGTTTCCAGGCATAACAGCCTGAATGCACAAATGACGAGTCGTAGGGTAAGACTAGCTACATCTTCAGCAAAATACAAGAGTGTAGGGCTTAAAGTTTAGGGTTTGGGTTCAGGGTTTAGGGTGTAGGGTTTAAAGTTTAGGCTTTGGGTTCAGGGTTCAGGGGGTTTGGGTTTTGGATAATTTCCCAAAAGCCATAGTCCCATAGCAACACGTTCAGCAATCCTAAACCGTTTCGGGGTTGAGCCTGCGCCCTGAACACTAAACCCTAAATTCTTGCTGTAACGCTCTTCAAGCTTCCTGGAACAAGGTAGAGGAATAAACAAGGAAAGTATGCTTTTCGTTACTTAGAACCCATGTACTTATCACCTAGCTTACTAACGCCTAAACCCTAAACCCAGACCCTAGACCCTAAACCCTAAACCCTATAACCCTATAACCCAAACCCTTAAACCCTAAACCCTAAACCCTGATCCCTAGAAACCGCCGATCCTCCAAGTAAGCATTCTGCACGCGCGGCCTCTTCAACTCGGCAAAGCGGCGTCCAAAGTTCATGCCGCAACCTGAGAAGAAGGGTTTAGGGTTCAGGGTTTGGGGCGGAGGGGGTTTAGGGCCCGGGATGGCCCGGGCTGGGGTTGAGGTAAAGGAAGTATAGAGTTTCTTAGGTTTTTTGGTGGTTTAGGGCTTAGGTTTTAAGCTTTAGGCTCAGAGAGCTTATTTTTTCTGCGGGCTTAGGGCCATTCTCATCAAGTAAATGTCAATTTCATCACTGTCCGCTTCTCCAACGTCACCATCATCACCATGATCGTCCACTGCGTGAGCAGCATCACCGCCATCATCGTCATCGCTTGCTGACACCCGCCTTCATGTTTCACTCACCACTACGGTCAAGAAACAAGCTGCCCTTAAAGATAATCCCGAAACAGCGCAATCTCCAGGGTTGTGCAGTGGTGGCTTCGTCGTGATCACAACCACGACGGCTGGCATCAGAAACAAGAACCGTGCACCCACCACCATTTCAATAATGTCAATACAAGCAACAATGCATAAGAAACAACACACTCGCACCTGCCGGAAGCAATGCTTCGCATCGGCATAACATATCAAAAGTCGTGCTCATTACTATCATACTATTGCCCGGTACAACTTCGGAAAAAGAGCAACAATGGCATTGATAAGCATTGCAATCATAAATCAATTACGGCAAGAGTAAGAGCCATTCATGATGCTCATGCAAATTCTGGCAGCCTAAATGCTTCCCAAGGCTCGATGACAACAAAGAGATCGCTTCTTCATCTCCTCGTGAAGACTTTCCAAATACCTGCATGCACGCTTGCGTTGTCGTAGATATAGGTTTCGGGTGTAGGGTTTATGTAGATATCGCATTGGTCGACGACACATAGCAAGATGCGAACGACATTTGGAGCCTTTCCGGAAAGCCACCTTTTTCCTGCAGGGTGGCTAACACTTCGTCCAAAGAGACCTTAGCAGCTTGCACCCAGTCTCGGCCCGAGCTGCCGCATGATGCATGAGACAGGCTGAGCCAAGTGCTAGAAAAGGTGGTCGAAAGGAGTCTCGCGAAGAGCACAGCACAACGACCCATGTGCGACAACGATGCTGGAGAATCAGAACTGCTGCTGTATCTTCCTCACCTGCTGTGAATCAAATTTTGACCAAGCGTCTGAAATGCTTGGCATTCCTCGGAGTGCACAACTTCCAGTGTCTGTCATCGGTAAGAAAGTTGAGGGTGGATTAAGTTAGATGATACCTTGCCTATTTAGGTGTATGGCACCACCCATCCCCCACCCTAGGATAATAATCTATCTCAAGATCTCACCTCCCACCCTAGGATAACATCTATCTCAAGATCTCAGCCCCAGTAGGATGATCCCAACCCAGGCTACCATCCTAGGAATACTCCTTACTTCTATCTAGGTGCCAAACACCTAACTAGGCAAGCGGGGTCATGCAGAATTTGGGCTGGGGTTTGGGGTTAAGGGTTGCAACTATAATGTTACTGTAAAATATAAGTGCTATGCATTATAATCACATTATAACAGTGGGATTAAGGAAAATTCAAGCGGCCGTCGTTGAAGTCGTTTGCAAGGACTTTGAGTATGACTTGGTTCATTTTGTCTTCATCAATCTTGGCTTCTTCCGACAGTTTACCCCAGATATTTGGAAAGTCTGTCTGCAGTTGCTTGATCCATGCTTCTCTGGTTCTCAGTCTAGACTCTCACGTGTGTTGGTGAGCTTTTCCTGCTAAGTGGGCTTCGCATTTTCTGGAAGAACTCTTAAACCACAACCTCGGCAGTTAAATGCACCATGCTGCGGTGTTTTCTCTCGCCTCCTTCTATTGATCTCATCCTTGTTCTTTTCACGGTGGCGCCTGCTATGTTCACGACACCAATTGCAGGTTTTAAAATGTTTTAAACCCGTCAAAGTCTTACACGTGCCTTACGAGCGTACAGCCACTACATTCTTGGAATTCGTCGCCCACTAGTTCTAAACATAATGGTGATATCTCTTTAAGTGTTTGCTAAAGAAAGACAGTTCTAAAAGAACATAGGTGGTCATTGACTCTTGACAGACTCATCTAAGCATTCAGAACAAGTCAAGGTTCATTTAACATAGTTGTAAGAGTGCTTATTGACACAGTATGTCCGCTTGAAACAGTTTATATAATTGACTTGCTTACAACGATAACACTTCCGAAGAATGCTAGTATCGGGTTCACTGAAAGCATCAGAATCAACTAGTATCTTATTTATTCTTATTGGCATTATATTATTATAATCCTATCGGGAAAATCCTTTTGCTAATTGTACGTAACTGTAGCGCCACCACTCCCGCTTGACTATGTCCGACCCATTCTGGTATTTGGGGTGTTGTCTCTTAATATTCGGTCTGCTTCTATATAGCGCTCCATATCACAGACTCCACCCAGAACTCCAAATGAAAATTTGACGAAATTTTCCAACCAGTTAGTATAATTGTCCCTCCTATATGCATCTTATTATCTCTGACATAAATCTTACTACCACGACCTTAAGCCGTTTTTATACCTTGTGTGTTTGATATCTTGCCGTTGGGTTTTAGAATGCTGTCCAATTGAGACTGTAGTTTGTCACACGTATTAAGAAGTGATATATAATTATTGTGTCTGTTATGAATATGAGCTTTAGACTTTTATTAACTTATAAGGAAGTCTACGTGAACTCTCGATACAGAGTCTCTGATAGCAGATCAGCCTCTGATTTTGAAATAGAGTTACAGGACACCTTTGAAACATCCGACAATACCATTATGCAAGTGCATGAGGTTGCTATAGCCAATGCGCGGTATTCAGTCAACACGAACAATCCGAACCTGTACTTTAGACATCAGATGCTGCCACCTGCTACACCCCAAGGAATAACATATAGAAGAATCGAAATACCCGTGGGAAACATGACTGAGCCTCTGCTGCCACACACGGGAGAGTTGGGGATTGCAAGGTTCGACGAAACCCAGCACCGAAGACAACCTTCACTCAGGTACAGCAACAGCACTGCTTAAGAAATCACTGGTTTAAGAAATTGAGCCCCTTGGACAGCCGCGCGACAAAAAATGTTTTAGATAAAATGCACAAATTGAAAATAAGAA